AATTCCTATTACGTTCCGATGATGTAAATGTATGTCATCCGTTCTTTTATTCCTATTACGTCTCTATGACGTAAGTGTATGTCATCAGTTTTTTATTTATACATTCCTATGACGTAAGTGTGTCATCCCTTTTTTATTCCTATTTCGTTTCTGATGATGTAAGTGGACATTATCAATTTTTCCCTATGACGTAGGTGTACATCATCCGTTTTTTTATTCCTTTTACGTCCCTATAACATATTTTTTATTTCTATTACGTCCCTATAATGCAAATGTACGTCATCCGTTTTTTATTCCTATCACGTTCTTCTGACGTAGATGTACGTCATCCGTTTTTATTCCTATTACGTTCCTACGATGTAAGTGTACGTCATCATTTCGATTTAAAGCTTTCGTGACTGCAGGGATTCATCTTCTTGGTTCTTTCGGTAAAGTCACTTTACCGAAAGAACCAAGAAAATGTACGTCATCATTTTTTTCCATTCTCCGGGGAAAGGGGAGGGTGTGGATAATGCTGACAGGGTGATGTCTCGCATCTCTCTCTCCATTCCTCTCTCCCAATACTAACAACTCTCCTCCTCTCTCCCCACATCTCCTTTCCTCCCTTCCTCCCTCAATCCCTCCCTCCCACTTTCTCCCCTGATCCACCACCACCACCACCACCCTCCACCCTACTATCTTACCCCGTAGGTCTCGGGAGTTGATTCGCGAGGCGATCCTGGACAACGACTTCATGAAGAACCTGGAGCTGTCGCAGATCCTCGAGGTGGTCGACTCCATGCACCCGGTGGAGTTCACGCGCGGCAGCTGCATCATCCGCGAGGGCGATGTGGGGTCACTCGTCTACGTCATGGAGGGTGAGTGGGTGGCTGGGTGGGTGGGTGTGGGTGAGTGTACGTACGAGACAATGTCAGTCAACTAAGTGTACCTGTGTGTACCTGTGTGTTTGATTCCCGCTCATAGCCAACACCACCGGTGACGATTATTTGAACTGGTCCTGGGCCTCCCATATGGTCGACTCAAATAAGTACCTGTGCGGTGCCTAGTAACATCGCCACTGGGGAGACAAAGGCGGCCGTGCGTGGTGCTGGCACCCACACCCTCGTGTGCTGTGCCAGCCTTCACAGGTGCTCGCTAACAGTACTTGCCCCAACAGTCTGTTCCGGCTATCCGGGGAATATTTGTCTTGTATGAATGTGAATTTGTGAGTATCTAGCAGTAAGTGAGTGTGAGTGTTCACCAGTAAGAGAGTGAGTGTGAGTGTGGGAGAGTGAGTGTGAATGGGTGAATGTGAGTGAGTGTGAGTGAGTGGGTCAGTCCACCATCAGTGTTTGTCTTTGTCTATCTAGTGGGTAATGGAAACATCAACCCCCTACCTCCTGGTTGGTTTTCAGGACGGTAAAGCTGTGGTGGCTGTGAGCATTGCCATGGAGGGAAGGCCAATTCCAATTGGCTGTTCCCCTCGTGGCGACCGTAGCCACCACAGCAGCCATTGGGGCTCTTTGGAAAGATTGGAAGGCATGGGCCAGATCAACTCAATAGCAATGGTAGGAGGCTGCTAGACTTCTGTGCAGCCCATGGGCTTGTAATTACCAACACGCTGTTCCGGCATCGGCGCATCCACACAACATCATGGATGCTGGGCTATATAGTGATGGAACAGCGGATGCAGGCCCGTGTCCATGACAACAGGACCTATCATGGAGCTGATCAGCCCATTGACCATCGGCTTGTCATCTGTAATATGCGCCTGCCATTATTCCACTCCAGTGGTGGGTGTACACCCAGGACCCCATTCAAACCCACAAGTAGCTGAGGATAGTTGCAAGCGAGAATTCCATCATCGCTTGCAGCTGGGATTAGCATTGTGCCCCCTGCCCTCCCCTCCTTTTGATGCCGAGTGGGCGAGCTGCTATGGCTGCTGTTGTTGTTGTGTCTGTGTGTGCCCATCAATCTGCGCGTAACATCGGGTCAAGGCCATTCCTGCATAGTTGAAAACTCTCCTCTCTCCCTCTCTCTTCCTCCCCTCCCTCCACTCCCTGCCTCCCCCTCTGTCCCTCTCCCCCCCCCCCTCTCTAGAGGGCCGAGTGGTCGTCACCAAGGAGGGGGTGAAGCTGTGCACCATGAGTCCAGGGAAAGTATTTGGCGAGCTCGCCATCCTCTACAACTGCACCCGTACGGCCACCGTCAAGGGTGAGGTTTACGATGGCCGGGTCGCTGGGTTCACGATGGCTGGGTCACTGGGTTCATGATGGGTGGGTCCCTGGGTTCACAATGGCCGGGTCACTGGGTTTACGATGGTCGGGTCACTGGCATCACAATGGCCGGGTCGCTGGGTTCACGATGGCTGAGTCCCTGGGTTAAAGATGGGTGGGTCGCTGGGTTCAAGATGGGTGAGTCGCTTGGTTCAAGATGGCCGAGTCAATGGGTTCACGATGGGTGAGTCGCTGGGTTTACGATGGCCGGATCACTGGCATCACAATGGCCGGGTCGCTGGGTTCACGATGGGTGGGTCGCTAGGTTCAAGATGGCCGTGTCGCTGGGTTCACGATGGGTGGGTCGCTGGGTTCAAGATGGCCGAGTCACTGGGTTCACGATGGACGGGTCGCTGGGTTCACGATGGACGGGTCGCTGGGTTCATGATGGACGGGTCGCTGGGTTCACGATGGACGGGTCCCTGGGTGCATGATGGACGGGTCGCTGGGTTCAAGATGAGTGGGTCGCTGGGTTCAAGATGGCCGAGTCACTGGGTTCATGATAGCCGAGTCACTGGGTTCACGATGGACGGGTCACTGGGTTCATGATGGACGGGTCACTGGGTTCAAGATGAGTGGGTCGCTGGGTTCAAGATGGCCGAGTCACTGGGTTCACGATGAGTGGGTCGCTGGGTTCATGATGGACGGGTCGCTGGGTTCAAGATGAGTGGGTCGCTGGTTCAAGATGGCCGGGTCGCTGGGTTCATGATGGACGGGTCGCTGGGTTCAAGATGAGTGGGTCGCTGGGTTCACGATGGCCGGGTCACTGGGTTCATGATGGGTGGGTCGCTGGGTTCAAGATGAGTGGGTCGCTGGGTTCAAGATGGCCGGGGCGCTGGGTTCAAGATGGCCGGGTCGCTGGGTTCACGATGGCTGGGTCACTGGGTTCATGATGGGTGGGTCGCTGGGTTCAAGATGAGTGGGTCGCTGGGTTCAAGATGGCCGGGGCGCTGGGTTCAAGATGGCCGGGTCGCTGGGTTCACGATGGCTGGGTCACTGGGTTCATGATGGGTGGGTCGCTGGGTTCAAGATGAGTGGGTCGCTGGGTTCAAGATGGCCGGGTCGCTGGGTTCAAGATGGCCAGGTCGCTGGGTTCACGATGGCCGGGTCACTGGGTTCATGATGGGTGGGTCGCTGGGTTCAAGATGAGTGGGTCGCTGGGTTCAAGATGGCCGGGTCGCTGGGTTCAAGATGGCCGGGTCGCTGGGTTCACGATGGCTGGGTCACTGGGTTCATGATGGGTGGGTCGCTGGGTTCAAGATGAGTGGGTCGCTGGGTTCAAGATGGCCGGGGCGCTGGGTTCAAGATGGCCGGGTCGCTGGGTTCACGATGGCTGGGTCACTGGGTTCATGATGGGTGGGTCGCTGGGTTCAAGATGAGTGGGTCGCTGGGTTCAAGATGGCCGGGTCGCTGGGTTCAAGATGGCCAGGTCGCTGGGTTCACGATGGCCGGGTCACTGGGTACATGATGGGTGGGTCGCTGGGTTCAAGATGAGTGGGTCGCTGGGTTAAAGATAGCCGAGTCACTGGGTTCATGATGGACGGGTCGCTGGGTTCACGATGGGTGGGTCGCTGGGTTCAAGATGGCCCAGTCACTGGGTTCATGATGGGTGGGTCGCTGGGTTCACGATGGACGGGTCGCTGGGTTCACGATGGGTGGGTCACTGGGTTCAAGATGGCCAAGTCACTGGGTTCACGATGGGTGGGTCACTGGGTTCACGATGGACGGGTCGCTGGGTTCACGATGGACGGGTCGCTGTGTTCAAGATGGCCGGGTCGCTGGGTTCAAGATGAGTGGGTCGCTGGGTTCACGATGGACGGGTCCCTGGGTGCATGATGGACGGGTCGCTGGGTTCACGATGGACGGGTCCCTGGGTGCATGATGGACGGGTTGCTGGGCTCATGATGGCTGTGTCGCTGGGTGAGTCTCACGATGGCCGGATTGCTGGGTTCACTATGGCCGGGTCGCTGGGTTCACGATGACCGTGTCAAAAACACTGAGATCCCTGGTCTGTGTGTATATCTCTCTCTCTCTCTGAGTCTTAATTTAAAGAAAAAGAGAGAGAGAGTGGGAGAGATGGGTGCGAGAAAGGGAGAGGGAGGGGGAGAGGATGTATAGACAAATAGAATATAGAGGAAGATGGAATAGGAGAGACACGGAGGGAGAGAGGGAGGAGAGGGCTGTGAGTGGAGATGTTATTGCCCTCATTGCCATGTGAGTCACGTGCAGCTACCATCAACATAAACAGAGACACAGAGAGTGGGTGAGTAGGTGGGTCAGTGGTTGATTGTTTGAGTGAGTAGATGAATGAGCGGGTGTGTGGGTAGGTCAGTGGGTGGGTGAGTGTATGAGTTGGTGGGTTAGTTTGCGAGTGAGTGGGTGCACGTGCCAGTGAACGAGTGGGGTGGATGTGAGTGTGGGGAGACAGGCGGTCAAGCGTAGTGGTGTCCACCCACTCCCTCGTGGGCGGTGTCGGCCTTCATAGTTGGCGCTCGCTACTCTCAACATTAACAGAGATACAGAGTGGGTGAGTGAGTAGGTGAGCGTTTGAGTTGGTGAGTGGCCGAGTTGGTGAATTATTGGATGAGTAGGCAAATGAGTGGGTGAGTACATGGGTGATTGGGTGAGTTGGTGAATTAGTGGGTGAGTGTGCCTGTGAGTGGGTGGGTGATTGGCTGCGTTTGAGTTGGCAGGTTGGTGAGTGGGTGAATGATTGGACGGTTGAGTGAGTGCATGGGTGAATGTGTAAGTGAGTGGTTGGTGAGTGTTGCCTTCATGCGGAGACTATTAGGAAGGTAATTGTCTGTTTAAGAGCTCTACTGAGGGATGACGGAGAAGAGGAGAGGGGGGACCTCTGTCAATCGAAAGGAGGGAGAATGCCACTCTCCCTGTCAAACACGTCGATTCACACACGGCGAGAAACACTCATACACTCATAGACGAATTTATAAACTCATAGAATCGCAGACTCACTCACACACTCATACATCGAGACACGTTTAGGCTCACACACTCATCGACTCACTCACACACTCATACATAGAGACACTCATACACCCGTATACTCACTCACTCATCGATTCACTTAGACACTCATAGACTCACTCAGACACTTTTAGACTCAGTCACACAATCATAGACGAATTTATAGACTCATAGAATCGCAGACTCACTCACACACTCATACATAGAGACACTCATACACCCGTAGACTCACTCACTCATCGATTCACTTAGACCAGGGGTCGGCAACCAAAATAACAAGAAGAGCCATTTCTTTCCAATTCGGTACAAAATTCAGTATTTCAAGAGCCGCAATGCATCTGAGTACATACGTACATATCGTCAAGAAGCAGCCCATAAAGAGCCGCATGCGGCTCCGGAGCCGTAGGTTGCCGACCTCTGACTTAGACACTCATAGACTCACTCAGACACTTTTAGACTCAGTCACACAATCATAGACTCAGAGACTCATAGACTCACACATACGCACACACTGAGAGACTCACACACACACACAACGACACACACACTCACTCACATAGACTCAAACAAATCCATTGACTCACGCACACTGATACTCACTCATACACCCATGCATAACCTCACTCAGTCACCCATATACTCAACCACCCACTCGCCCACTCACCCAGGAACACAAACACACATATGCTCCACATACACACACTCATCCACTCACCCATACATTCACCCAAACCACTTATGTGAATATATAATAACACGCACACACACCCACGCACTCACCCACTGACTCATTCACTCACCTACTCACTGGCCCACCAAACTCACTCGCACAAACACTTATACATTTACTCATTCAATCACTCATTCTCCCACCCACACGCCCACCCACGCATTCACACACACACATATACACAAATACACACTCACTCCGTATAGCCTGTAACAGACTGTTGGGGCAAGTGTTGTTAATAGCGAGTAGCAGTCACTCACTCACTCATTCACTCATCTATTCATTCACTAACACGTTCCGCCACTCACTCGCTCACCCACTCACACAAACACCAATGCATTTACTCATTCAATCGCTCACTCACCCACTCACTCACCCACACACCATCCATTCACAGCAGCATAAATACCTAATCACTCATTCACCCACTGACCCACATAACCATACATACATAAAGCCTGTAGCATACTGCACGGACAAGTGCTCTTAGAGAGTAGCAGCGGCACCTATGAAGGCCGTCACTGTGACACAAGAGGGGGTGGGTGTCCAGGACCGCGCCCGGTCGCCTTTGTCTCTCCCGAGTGGCGATATTTACTGCGCACCGCACCAGGTACTCATTTGACGCTGAGTTGACTTAGGGGAGGCCCAGGACCGGTTCCGATAATACTATAACTGGGTCTTAGTCGCCGTGAGCTAACCGCTCCCCATAACGATGATGATTACAATCATAGCAATAAATATCATACACACACATGCATACTGATCCACTCACTCGCCCACTCACACACTCACCCACTCACCCACGCTCACTCACCCACACGCTCACTCACGCATCCATTCACTCACTCACCCACCCACCAATTTACCCATTCATCTACACACACACATTCAAAACTCACACACACACGCTCACTCACCCACGCTCACTCACCCACACGCTCACTCACCCATCCATTCACTCTCTCACCCACACACCCATTTACTCACTCACCCACCCACCTACCAATTCACCCATTCATCAACACACACACATTCAAAACTCACACACACACGCTCACTCACCCACGCTCACCCATCCACACGCTCACTCACCCATCCATTCACTCACTCACCCACACACCCACACACCCATTTACTCACTCACCCACGCCCCAATTCACCCATTCATCAACACACACACACCCATTCAAAACTCACACACACGCTCACTCACCCACGCTCAC